GAAAAACGTAAAGAACTTTCGGAATCACCTAATATTATGCCGTTTTTCTCAAGCAGATCAATGCGCTAATGGATTTGAATAAAGAGGTAAACTTAGGCTAGTAGGAGCCTTGCAACCTCAAAACACCTCATCGATAGGATGGAGTAAGAAGATAAAGCGAACTTTAGAGACTGTTATAATTTGTACTCACGTATTTGTAGTTCAGAATGACCTCCAAGACGATCATGCTAAGGAACTTGAGCAACTCAGGACCGCTTCTGCACGAAGCGAAGAGAGTTCATTAGAAAAAGGAAGACGCATGGAGCAGGTAACTCAGTGCATTTCTTTTTATAATCTATGTAAACATTGTAGTTTTCAGCTTCAATTCGATTATGACGAAGCTATGGAGAAGGTCCGCACATTGGCGGACGAAAAAGCTGCTGGAGATGCCGAAGTGCTCCGGTTACAAGAAGAGCTGTCGCGGAAGCAGAATGAGGTGCCTTCAAAAACCTAACCTCTCTTCTCGAAAATTTCTTTCTTAGTTGGTATCTCTGCGAATCAAAGAAGCGAATACGGCTGCTCTCTATAGCGAAGCTAAATACAAAATGTTCGTATCAGATACACGCTTCACTTATATTTCAACTTTGGTTCTGCTTTATTCAGAACAACTCTAGAGAAAGCTATGGAAGAGAGGTCAAGAGTCACGCAAATCGAGACGGCTTCCTTCGAGATCAAAAAGACCGCAATATTGATGGAGAGTGAAGAAGTTGGTTTTTTATTGCTTCATAAGCGCAAACGACGCACACATCGTCAATGCTTGTGCGTTATGCGTCAGAACCAGCGATTCTCGAGACTGGAGTAGAGTAGGTTCGCGCGTGTTTCGTTGGCATAATCTGTTGTTTGGCCTGCTGAAGTACGACGAGCCCAACTTTGCCTGGAGACGTAGCATGCGGTGGGTTCGCACGCAATGGCTCGTTCACGCAAGTCGTCCTCCGATTGCGGTAGCGGTGTCTGGTTTGAGGGCGAATATTTTAGCCGTGAGCAC